AAAAGTGAACAAGATATATGAAGCCACTATTTTCAGGTATGAAACAACACTCAGTGTAGGACTGTGAACTTGAAAGGAGGAAACTCAGGAAGTCAGCCCAGGGGCATTCTAGCTTTCTATCTGGGGACACTTTCCTGGCTCAGCATAAGGAGGTGCAAACCAAGCAGAGTTATCATCCTGCTGAGCTAGGGAGTCAGGGAGATGAGTTCTGGGCTGGTGAAGCAGCTGGAAGTTTTGGACAGAGTACCTGAGAAAAGGGAGCTGTACCAAGAGGTGACCTCAAAAGTCGGCATGATAATTCACCTCAATTCCTTGGCTGAAGACCAGACAATGTAGGAAAAGGCTAGACTTTAGAGATCAAGTATTTTGAGGCTTTTAGCTGAAAGATGATGCTGGGAGATGTTGGAATTTTAGACCAGCTAGAGTGGAAACACCTTGCAGAATACTTCACATGTTCAGTGTTACTCCAGAAAGACTGTGCCTTTTGAATGAGAGCCATGCTCTAAGACTGGGTTCAAAACTGAAATAGACCTGCCCTAACAAGTCTGACAGGACTAAAAGACTCCACCAATCACTTAATAGTAATTTAAATACAGAGAGACACACACCCAGGTACAGTGTAATCAAACTGCTGAAAACCAAAGATGAAGTAACTTGTAGTAACTTGTGGTGAAAAAGAATATAAGAATGTTAAAAAAATAAGAATATAAGAATGAATATGTGTATGTTCATGTATGACTGAAGCATTATTGAAATTGGAACAACATTGTAAACTGACTATAAGTCAATAAATATATATATGTACAAAATATATATTTTTTTAAAAGGGGAAAAAAGTATGAATAATGAGTGACTTATCACAAATAATGGAGGCCAGAAGACAATGGAATGACACCTTTAAGTTCTGCAAGAGGAGGAAAAATACTCCAAAACACTGAGTCTGTTTCTGTTTTGTTAATAAGTTAATTTGTGTCTTTTTTTTAGAGTCCACATATAAGTGATACCATATGGTATTTGTCTTTCTCTTTCTGACTTACTTCACTTGATATAATCACCTCCAGGTCTACCCATGTTGCTGCAGATGGCATTATTTCATTCTTTTTTATGGCTTTGTAGTATTCCATTGTGTATATATTCCACATCTTCTTTATCTGGTCATCTGTTGATGGACACTTAGGTTGCTTCCATGTCTTGGTTGTTATAAATAGTTAACCCCACTTTATGACAAAAGCTTTTAGCAAATTAAGAATAAAAGGGAATTTCCTCAATATGATAAGAAGCATCTGTAATAGTCCTACAGATAACATAATGCTTAACGGTTAAATATTGAACACTTCCTCTGTAAGACTAGAAGTCTTGGGCAGGACTTCCAGGAAAGTTTCAAAGATACAGATTTCTCTTGCTATCACAGAGTAGAGCATTCCTGTGGAACCTTCATAAGCTGAAATGACTTAAAGCAAAGAAGCAATTACCTTAGGACACATCTTGCTAATGGGTGCACAAAATAAATTGAGATAAAGGAAGATGCTCACAGACACAGTTCAAAGCTATGGTGGCTTGATTCTGAGATGCTGAGTGTAGCTCCTGGGGAAGGAGCTTGGCGGTGCCACTTTTGCTCTGTAAGGGCTCACTGCAGAACAGATGCTGAACACTGTTTCTGCTTTCGCCTTTTTTCATAAGAGTGAAAATCTTCTTCGGATTTCTTTCAGTTAGGAAAACAGTCCTAATTTAGGTCCTTCCTAATAGTGGAGTGGTGTATAGTGGGGTATACCTGTAGTTCTCCACCTGATGGGTGCCCTTTGCTCCTCCTGCAGAACTAGATTTTTGTTTTTGTGAGTTTGGGATTATTTCTCTAACGGTCTTGAGGCACCAAGTTTGCACCTAAAAGTTGACTAGATGGTCAACATTGAGTGCTCATTCAGAACTCGGAATATTCAGGATCAGTCAATCCCCTATCTGCTCCACTCCACTCTCCCATACCACCAAAGCATTGGCGGCTTTTGGGGCCGTTTTGAGTTTTGTTTGGTTAGTTTTGTTTATTATGCCACAAGCAACTTATATAAGCTTCATGGCTATTAGCACACAAAGTTCTTGGCTATAATAAATCAAGAATGAACTAGGCAACAGCTGTCCTTTCCCACAAGTTCCAGTATTTCTGCAGCAAGAGCTTGAAATTTGCTCAGAAAAGCTTATGATTGCCTAATAGTTTCTTGCTACCCTTCCGTTCACCTCTCCCAGATAGGGTCCGAGTCATCAGTGGGTCAGGGTCTGGGTACCCCAGCATGCCATCAGGGCCCCACTGGACTCTGCAAGGACCCTGCTGTCCTTGGGTGGGCACCCATGAAGCCTGTTGTCCCTGCAGCCCACCAGCCAGACCTATGACAGAGGGGAGCCCAGATGCAGGAAAGAGCCTGGCCTACTTCTTGCTTAGGAAACACCTGGGGAAGCTGAGTGATCAGGAACACAAGGGTCTGCCTCCGAGGATTCTGAGGTCGCCCTGCTCCCATCTTGAGTTATCTTCCAGGGGTTGGGACTTCCCCTCCCACTACCGACGCTCCGGGACACACAGAGCCAGCCCATATGGATGAACTCTCCTAGGGCGTTTTCAGAGTCCTAGCTTTTGGATGACTGCCCAGCTCTGCCTGCCCAGCTGCTCCCTCTGAGAAGGCCCTGAGTTGCCTGACTGCTTGAGATTCCTCACTGGGGTCTTCCTTTTATGCAGCCCTGGCAGTGGACTGCTGAATCCATTGGGGGTCCTTTCTGTTTTTATGGAAGTATAGTTGATTTACAATGTTGTGTTGATTTCTGGTGTACAGCATAGTGATTCATTTACATATATGTGTACATACATTCTTTTTTGTATTCTTTTTCATTATAGGCCATTACAAGATATTGAAGACAAGTCCCTGTGCTAGACAGTAGGAACTTGTTGTTTATCTGCTTTATATATAATAGTATCTGCAAATCTTGAACTCGCAATTTATCCCTCTCCACCCCTGCCCCCCCAACCCCGATAACCATAAGTTTGTTTTCTATGTCTTTGAGCCTGTCTCTGTTTTGTAAGTAAGTTCGTTTGTGTCTTTTTTTTTTTTGATTCCATATATAAATGGTATCATACAGTATTTAAAAAATTTTTTTGAGGTACTAGGGATAGAACCCAGGACCTCGTGCATGCAAAGCACGCACTCTACCACTGAGCTATTACCCTCCCCACCACTGGGGGTGCTAGACAAGGTCGGCTACTAGGGAGCTCAGCAGAACTACCTTCAAATCCAGCAGTTGGTTCCCCAGCTTGGCCCTGAAAGTCCAGACAAAACTATTTGTTTCCTTAGGAGAGCTTGTACCTTTGAGGAGACAGATTAGCAAAGGGTAAATCATTTTCAAGATATTCTAATCAGTTGTTTTCTCATAATAGTTGGCATTTGTGAGCTTATTTTATACCCTCATAGTGCTCTGTGTTCTACATACATTATCTTATTTAATACTTATGACAACTCGAGGAATTCCTATTTTGCAGCTGTGGGTAGTGAGACTCAGAGAATATACATCATATTGTCAAGGCTGAACACTAAGTGGCAGAACCAGAAACCAGTGAGTAGAGTATAATTCTAAAACAAACAAACAAAAACCCAAACTTGTTTGTTACGTAGAAATTAGTCATTTACACTCTTGGGAGTAAGTCACCATTTCATTTTATAGTTATGATAGTGAAGAAAGAAGGTGAAATGGGGGAGAACAAATCTGACTCCAGATTGGATCTGTTTCTTTTACTTTTAACCTTTGTATTCCATTGCTTTTTCTCCAAGTTAATCACTAAAGGGGTGTTGCCTATAAGCTTAAATCATACATAATGGCCCATCTCTGGAAACCCAGCCTCCCAGGTAATGAGTGTTAAGTTAAAATATCTTTGTTTAGCTCACGGGAAACATCCTGACCAGGCCCACCTGTGAATGACTTCAGGCAAGAAGAAATTAACACATCCCCTCCCCTCTGGAGGCTGACCGGAAGCAGGAAGTGTTTGACTTTACTCCCGCCCCTTTTAGTATAAAAGAAGCCTGAATTCCAACTCAGGCAAGATGGTTCCCTGGGATACTAGTCCGCCGGTGTCTTGGTGAGCTGGCTTTCCAAATAAAGTAGCTATTTCTTGCCCCAACAACTCGTTTGCTGGCCTGCCTTGTGGCAAGTAGAACACGTTTAGTACTCTTTAACAAATTTTGGTAAAGCCAGTTAGGAGCCTTGTTTCTCGGCGACACCTGGCCCCAACTGGGGAATTTTCAGGTAAGGCCCTAGCAGCTACCGGGACCACGTGTCCTGAGGATCTGCCCTTCAGAATTCTCTGAAGCGGCACCTGCTGCCCCAGCGCTTGGCAGTTGGAGCAGAGAAGTCAACCGTCAGGGACCAGATGAGCTCAGTACAGTAAGTAAGTCACTGTGGTGTGTACAGCCAGAAACGTTATTTCCTCTCTGGGGCTTTTTCCTCCAGAATAAGCCAATTTGTTTTGTATTTGAGTGGCATACCCTGTTGGAAAGAGGAATTAGTTTCTGGACTTCTACCTGATTTATGAACCGGTTCGTTTCCTCAGATGCTGGCATTTGTATGCGCCGTTTGTGTTTTGTATTTCTGTCTTTAAAAAGTAGAGAATGTTTCCGCTATTCCTTAACAGAGTCCTCTGAAGCACACGTTGGATGAGTAGTCTGTTACAGCTAGGAGCCCAGGACTGACACGAAGACGGTATTTTACTGCGACATGGTGTGGCCGCAGCACCTATTAGGGGCTCCGTAGGGGTTTAGGCAGGGCTTTCCTGGGACCCCGTGCACCACGTACTCCCACCTTTGCTGTGTTAATTACGTCATTGGTGGTCTCCTGGGTTGTTGTTAAACGTATAACTCCAAGACCAAGCTTGGGGGTTTATTTAGGGTTTTCTGTGTTCCCTTTGCATTTTTTCTTTCATTTTGTTTTGGTACTGTTTCTCCATTTACAGCCAAATCAGATATTTTAAATGTTACTGATTCACATGGAGGAAAGGAACGGAAACAAACAAACAGAAACCTGTCTGTTCTTATCCAAGAGGGGAACATTCCCAGGGCGAAGGGGAAGAGTCCACTTGGTTCCTAAAATTACCGAAAGCCTCATCACGGAATTCAGTGCGGTTGGTTGATGCCAAGGCAAAAAGGCATTCTTTTACTGGTTAGAGATGATCAATTGCTATTTATGGTTTTACGGTGGCTTTCAAATGGCTCTGTAGCTATTCTGTGAAGAAACAGGGAAGAATGATGAAATCCTTTATGTGCAAGTGTTTGTGCTATTATATCAGAGAAAATAAAAGGAAAGGAACGAGAGTGAGGCTATGTTGCTTCAAGCCTTAACTCCAGCTGAGCTAGCTGTCCCAGCCACTCTGGCCATGAGGCCAATATATCCACCCCTTCCACCACCTCCTGCTCCCATCCAGCCCCAGTTCCTGACACCGGGGCTCAGAATTTCCCCTCCTTATAGGGATCAGTTAGAAAATCCTGTGTTAGTTCCTGGGGCACGAGGACCTGGTCTGATAATGCCATCTAAGACACGACAGGGCACCTAATTTGGCCCAGGAGCCACTCCTGGGGCAGGGCAGTTTTCATCACGATGCGTGTAGGGGCTAAATGCGAACAACCAGCCAGCTGTGTTTCTCAGAGTGTTTAACTGGAAAGATCACAGTCCTCCTTATAGAGAGGATCCTCTACACCTGAAGCCCACTTGGCAGCACCCACAGCTGAACCAAATCAAGACCCCATGGAGGGAGGAATGCCCTTATTAGAACAGTACTTACTTGTGAATCTTGGCAGGGCTTTGAAAGGGGAACCAAAGCAAAAGAGTTTGAATAAAATTTAAGAAATTCAGCAAATACTTCAATTAAAGAAAAAATCCCTCTGAATTTTGTAAAGGATTTATCAGGCCTATAGATGTTATACTAACACAGATTCTAAGGTCCCTGAAACTATTAGAATGGTAAGTTAGACCTTTTTTGGTGGGGGAGGGGTGCCTCACATATCAGGAGAAAGTTGCAAAAATTAGTTGGTGCCTTTGGATTGAATCCTTATCAGTTGGTAGGTGGTTGGTTTTAAAGTGTTCAACGACAGCGAATGATGAAAGAAAATAGAAAATGAAACAGGACTTCTCCGGCAGTGGCACTGGATTCCCGGAAGGCGATTGCTGAAGGGAGGTAAGCCACAATGGGGAAGGAACAATGCGCCTATCGTAAGCAGGAAGGGCATGGGAAAGCAGGTTACCCTGGGCTAAAACATAAGAAGGAAAATAATAAAAGAAAGATGGGAGCCTCTCGTGTGGTAGAGAGAGAGGAACACTCTGAATGAAGATCCCCAGAGGCTCCCGTGGACTTGAGGTGCCCAATTCCAATTTCCCCACAGAAGCACCTGATAAAATTGACAGTAGGGAATGAGCTGATTAACTTTCTGACAGACTTCACCCTGGAACCTAGTTTCTTAGATATGTCAGAGTCTCCAGTCCTGCTTTTGGGCCAAGATCTCCTTTGTAAATTAAATGCTCAAGTAACTTTTTCACCAGAACAGCTTGACGTCAGAGTCCCAACAGAACATGCTTTAAGCCTCCAGACGATGCTCATGGAAACTCCAGAAAAGGAGACGAGCTCTTCCCCCTCGAAGGTCTATGAAAAGGTAAGACCAGAAGTGTGGGCTGACGGTCCCCCCATGGAAGGGCAAATATGCACGGGCAGGACGGATCCCATTAAAAAGGAATGCTGGGACACCTAATCTAGAACAGCATCCTGAGGCAAGAAGCCCAAGAGGGAATTTAGCCAACTCAAACTGTGAAAACAGGACTGATTAAACCCAGCAGTTCTCCATACAACACCCCTCTTCTCCAAAACAGCCAGCCACACTCAGTGTATTGCTTTGTGTAAGCCCTGAGGGATATTGAGGCAGGCCAAGACTTGCACCCCATAGTGCCTAATCTATACACTCTGCTCACAACTATTTGGGAGAATACGGCAGGTTCTCAGTTGTGGATTTGAAAGATGCTTTTTTTTTTTTTGTATTCCTATTGCAGAAGAATCACAGCAGCTATTTTCTTTTGAATGGCAGGACCCAGAAACACAGTAGTCCAACAGTATTGTTGGACAGTCCTCCTCAAGGATTTAAGCGTTCTTCTACCTGGTTGGGGAAATGCTGGCTAGGGACTTTACAAACTTAATATTGGATGAAGGACTTTTACTCCAATACGTAGGTGATTTGCTCATAGCAAGCCCTACATAGGGTAAATGTCTACAAAATACCATCAGAACCCTGAACCATGTGGCCAGTTGTCTCCCAGAAAAGGGCGCAGATATGTAAGCAGCAGATCAGGTGTGTGGGCTTTGCCCTCTCCCAAGGACAGTGGGATCTTTTGCCTGACAGAAAATGGGCAGCTGCAGGCTTGAACACCTAAGACCTTCAGACACCTGAAGGGGTTTCTGGGAATGGCAGGGTTCTATTGGATTTGGATCCTGAACTGTGAGCTCATAGTCAAGCACCTCCATAAAGTTTTCTTTTTTCTCCATTTTCTTTTAAATTGAAATGTTGTGTCCATTTCTGGTATACAGCATGTTTCAGTCATACTTATGTATATATATTCCTTTTCCATATTCTTTTTCATTATAAGTTACTACAAGATACTGAATATAGTTCCCTGTGCTATGAGGTTTTTAAGACATGATCTGTTTACAATAGCCAAGACATGGAAGCAACCTAAATGTCCATCAGCAGATGACTGGATAAAGATGTGGTATATTTATACAATGGATACTACTCAGGCATAAAAAAGAACAAAATAATGCCATTTGCAGTAACATGGATGGACCTGGAGGTTGTCAAAATGAAGTAAATGAGACAGAAAAATACCATATGATATCTCTTATTTGTGGCATCTAGAAAAAAGACACGAATGAACTTATTTATAAAACAGAGGCTCACAGACATAGAAAACAAACTTATGGTTGCCAGCAGGGGAAGAAGATAGGGAGAAGTAAACTGGGAGTTGGGGCTATGCAGATACACACTACTATATATAAAGTAAACAAGGCCCTACTGTATAGCACAAGGAACTGTATTCAATACCGTGTAATGTCCTACAAAGAAAAGAAATATGAAAAGGAATATATATGTACAACTGAATCACTATGCTGTACACCAGAAATTAACAAAACATTGTAAATCAACTATACTTCAATGAAAATAAAGGAACATGATCTTGAGCCTCTTACTTGGACTAAAAAGTGCCAAACAGCTTTTGAAACAATAAAAACAGAGTCTCAGCCTCAGCTTTGGGATTAACACATTAAAGAAACCTTTCAAATTACATGTCCATGAAAGACAAAGCATATGCCTTGGTATTAATTCAAGCTCTAGGTCTAAAAGCAACCCAAAGATTGCTGTCTGACCTGCCCAGATGGGGACTCAGCATAAGGGAATATGCCCTACTGAGGACTGGCAAATATACTTTACTCAATGCCCCAGACATGGACACTTCTTCAGGATGGGTGGACGAACATCCCACCCGGATAAAAAGCCTCTGAAGTGGTTAAAACCCTCCTTTAAGGAAATTATCCCCTGTTCTGGTTTAAGGTGTTGAAACTACATTCACCCTGGAGGCCACAATCAACTGGAAAAACTGAGAAAGTGAATCATACTTAAAGAAGAGTATTGCTAAAATATGTCAAGAGACTAATTTAAAGTGGGATAAGACCTGGTCAGGAGCCCTGCTACAGATCAGAGAGGGATAGGGCTCGAAGCCCTTGTACCCAGCCTTAGAAAGACAGAAACAAACTTAAATTAAGCCCCTTTGAAGTATTACATGGTAGGCCATTCCAGGTGTTTGCCCAGGGAGGGAAAATCTATAAACGCTCTAAAAGGCATAGCAGTTGCCAATTATGTTAAAACTTTGAGCAGTATACTGAAAAATTCAGAGGCTATAAGGATGATTCCCCGGCAGGAGTAGTAATGGCCAAAAAGGCATGCACAAATCTAGGGAAAATGAATCATTCTGGTATTCCAACAAGAAAAAAGGGAAAGGCAAACAAAACAAATTATGTAACACATTAATAAAAACAGTCTAATTCCAAAGAGGCTCCACTGATGAGCTCCGATGAGAAAAGGAGGCGGGGGCCCATAAGTGAGGGCAGCTTGGCATGTACCTATGGGACGAGTGGCAGGACGCTGAACGTTAGAATACAGTGAGGCTAGAAAAGTACCAAAGGTAATAAAAATGGCTCTTATAGGTCTTTTGGGGTCAAAGAGTTGTCAAAGGAAGAGGCAGACCCACTGCTCAGGGGTCATGGTGAAAGAAATGTTAAAACACTTTCTGATTATCTGTTGTTTCTCTTATCCGTAGCTGAGAGGAGAGTCTTCAACTGGAAATGGCAGAACAACAAAACCTAAGGAATAGGTGCCCATGATAAGGAAAAGACCGGCCATTGGTAAGTACCCATTTTATGCCAAGCCCATATTCATGTTCTAGTCAAATCTTAGTAATGACTCAGAGAAGTAGGTGTTGTTATAACCAGCAACTCCTTCCTCCCTCACATCTCACCCC